ATTTGCTTTCCTATCTAAAAGCAGCTTGACTGTACTTATTTGGTTATTGGTAGTTGCAAGATGTAGAGCGGTTGATCCAAGATTGTTTACAGCATCTATGTCTGCCTTCTGGTTCAGCAACACCGGTACGATGTCTTCATGTCCACCATGTGCTGCAAACATTAACGCTGTCCAGCCAGCGCTGCTCTTACAATTGACCTCACAACCATGTTTAAGCAAGAAGTCCACTATTTCTTTTGCCCCATGATGTGAAGCAAACATCAAAAGTGTACATTCATCCTCAAATTTAGAATTTAAAAAAGTTTTACTTTTAAGATTTTTTTCTTCCAAACATTTAGAGAATCCTTTTAGATCTTTGTCACGAATGCATTTCTTAATGTTTTTCTGCAACTAAAAAAAATAAACAAAAATTAACAAATATATAAATAAATGATTTTTGAGAAATTCAAAAATATTTGAATGCATTAATAAAATGTTATCATACTGCAAAAACGGGAATTTTGTTATTGTGTCACACGTCCAAGATATATATATATATATACGAGCCGACCTGCTGCGTATCCTACGCCGCTATTTAGTTGTTTTTTTTTTCTACTTTTCAGTAATTTATAATTTATGAATTCAATAGTACCAATGCTGCCATTGAAAATATTTGCTTAAAAACACTAAACCCCCCCCTCACGTGAAAGCAGCCTCCTCTTAGTTACCTCCTCTAAGTTTAAAATCGTTTCAAACTAAATTATCTGCCCCTAATAGCCGTCACCAAACCCGTCTCTATGATTGTAAAATGTAAACAGAGTGAACACCGCTCACCAGATCATGTGGGGGTGGGGTGGGGGTGGTAGTGATAGAGAGGAAGAGAGGGGACTGTAAGGAGGCGCTTGCAGCTTGTTTTCTAACTGATCCCAGAAGAGAATTATAGATATATATATATGTACACACACTACATACACACAATATATGTGTATATATACATACATCATATAATACGGTCAAAGCCCGAAGTCGGCCTAAGCACACATTGGCAGTCCAATGCGCGCATTGGCCAATATCACCTCACATTGACTGGATAAAGTTCAAACCTGTACTTGAATTCGGCCTTCGGCCGGTCAGTCTGTGGACTTGCCGTAGTGGAACGGCCAAGTCGGAATTGGAAGATCACCTGGCTAGGGGTGAACGACCAAAGTCTGAATTAGAAAATCATGAGCAAACGTTGAGTTTATGAACGTTTATGGCATTCTGAATTATATAGTAGCTTGCTATTTTTACACTTGCAGCAATTTGTTGTGCAGCTGCGGCGAGTGTAGCCTTGGCCGCCGTTAAGTTATTGTGAAGCTATGATGTGAGCAAAGAATGGAAATCTCAACTCTAGCATACATTGTTTTATAACACCATGTTCTCGTTCCTAGCTTGTAGAAAGCCCCCTCGACTCTCATGATAACTTCACGGACGCTTCATGGATCTCTGCGACCTCTGCTATGGTCTACGGATGCATGATCTTCAAATTCAACGTGTTTAAAATTTGTATCTGATTTTGTTAACATCTTAGCACCTTGCGTTTGCAATCTAGTATGAGATGCTGACCTGTTGTTAGTGATTTCTTGTTTATTGTAACATAATCTGCAAGTAATGTTCCATCCGTACCCTTCGTCTGCTACATTAGCTATTTCCGCAAATTGCATGGACATTGTTGCCACAGGATCCACAAGAATGGGCTGCATTACATTCTTTTTGACATACTTCACAGAATATGTATTAGTTGAGGATGTCGTTGCATTTATGGCATCCTCCATTGCTTGTTCAATGTTCTCAAGATCTTCCTCGGTAATTATATTATCGAGAACCTCTTTTGGCAGATTTGAAGTTTTAAGACACACTTTTGCTTTGCACCTAAACAAGGCTTCGTATGGCGATTGTTGGATTCCTTACAAGGGTAGCATCAAACACTGCAAAGTCTTTTAAATGTTCCGTTTTGTTGGCCAGTGAACCGACTGTCTGGGATTTTGTTCTTTCAAGATTGTTTCACCTCATCATTATAGAGGAGGCCATCACATACAGAAATAGCCCATAAATGGAAACTAACAAGGGTTTGGATTTTTTTTTTCTTTGGCAGCCTTCTAATGTCTGTATTTTGGTCATTTCAGACCTTTTGGTTCATGTCGCATTGAATATAGAATGCAATACAAACAGCCAAGCAATACGTTACTCACAATAAAACCGCATGAAGAATAATGAAAACGTGATCCCACCGTTGTCTACATAGGACATTGCCCAGGACATCCCGGCCAGTGTATACATTGGCCGGCCAATGTAAGAAAGATATTGTCAATTAATCTCTTTGGACTTTGGCCAGCACATTCAGGCATAATATATATATATATATATATATATATATATATATATATATATATATATATATATATATATATATATATATATATATACTAGTCATACTGCCTAGCTTCGCTTAGGTTTTCAAGAATGGTAAATTAATTAGTGATTGGCTGATATGGAGAGCTTAAACAGTAATAGTAATTTTAGACAATTACTGGAATGTTCGCAATTTATTACTTGAAACGTAATTAGAACTACAAAGGTTTCCTGAATAAGTATAACTCATAAGTTATATTATATAGACTTCTAAAATTAACTACTACAATTTATTTAGGATACATACGTTAAATCTTAACACAGATTATACTCAAATAAAAGCTACCAGCCAACCCGCACACACACTGCTATTTAGTTGTTTTATTTTCTACTTTACGGTAATTCATAACTTGTGCATTCGACAGTACCAATGCTGCCACTGAAAATATTTGCTTTAAAACACCATCAGTAGGTTGTTAAGGACGATACTACCCACGCCCTACTTTCCCCCAACCCCTGCCCTACACTCCAGTGAAAGCAGCTTTAGTTACCTCTCCTAAGTTTAAAATCGTTTCAAACTAAATTATCTGCCCCTAATAGTCGTCACTAAACCGGCTCTACGATTACAAACATTTAGCATGAACCACAGATCACCAGACCATGTAGGGGTGGGGTGGTAGGGAGCGCGCTTACAGCTTGACGTTTTCTAGCGTCTCCATGAAGAGAATTCTATATATATATATATATATATATATATATATATATATATATATATATTCCTCGTCATTTTCAGTTTATATTTAAAATAATATAAAACTGTTTGAAAAATATATATTTTAAACAGTTATCTCCCTTGCACACTGAACCAATGACGTAGTCTTTGTTTCCTTTCTTTTCACAAACAGTTGCAATGCTTATAAAAGAAAGTACGGTATCTGGACATATTTAACGACCATTATGGTTTTTCCCGACGAGAATAACGTTTTTTGTTACCCTCCAGGATCGGTCTTCGACCTCAATAAATATCCCTAGGGGATCGTTCGGCACTTTTTTTTTAAATATAGCTGATGTTAGGAGAATGTCATTCGTGGTTACAATTTAGTCCTCGCCGTTCAAGCAGATGCTGACCGACAGTTTATCCATAAGGCCGATTTATTTACACATTTCTATGCAAACAATGAGCCAGATGCACAGAGCTAAAGTTCCAAAACACTGTTTTGAAAATAGCCATAGTTTCTCACCAAATCAAAAATGTTTATCACAGGGAATTATGACCGGTCATCTCTAAAGCCGTTCCAGAATTTTCCCGAAGATAACGCCTACGTACAGTGACCCCCACGAGTATTTCTACGACCTCAGGAGTTGTAATTAGGTTTGTATGTCCAAAATTTTTTATTTTTTTTTAATGAAAACAGTATTATATAATGAAATATGGCATCTGGTCAGTTAAAACATTGTTCCCGGGTTTTCTTGAAAGTAACAAAAAATTTTCCAGATCCTCTGGGGCCAATGTACATCTCCAAGAGTTTTCAAAGGTTCAAAGTCAAATTCTATTTTAGTCACACCATCGGTTGCATAATGTATTTATACATCTGTCTGATATGTGTTTTTCGCAACTGTCCCATAAATCAGACGTTTGTGCATGGGGCCTTTCGTTGCAAGCATCCCACTTATGGGACGCTTGTTGTCCACATGATATAACGAAGTAGTTCAATAAATTGTTATTCTTAAATTTTTATTAGATAGAAAAATGATAATGCATTTAGGTATTAAAATAGTAATATTTAGGAAGATATTGATTATGCACATATCCGTGAGCGTATTTTCTTTTTCCGATATTTTGATGTCTTGCAAAACAGGCAATATAACAATAGTCTAACTACTACCAAATACAATGAAATATAGTTTGTTTTCAAATAGTTGTTATTAAATTTTTAAATTTGTTTTTACAAGCAGCTTATGGGTTAAAATTTAGGCATTTTTACAACATGAAGTTGTTAATGGAGATATGGTTACTAAGAATTTCAATTTGTAAAAAAATATAAGGATTTTTTTCTTACATCACAGCAGCTGGAATTTATTTTAAAAACTGTACTTGAAAATATCAGGCAAAAGGCGCCACAGCCATAAAAATCTATATATAATATTCTCTTCTGCGATCAGTTAGAAAACGAGCTGCAAGCGCGCCTTTGCAGTTCCCTCTCTTCCTCTCTATCACTATCACCCCCACCCCCACATGATCTGGTGAGCGGTGTTCATTCTGTTTACATTTTACAATCATAGAGACAGGTTTGGTGATGGCTATTAGGGGCAGATAATTTAGTTTGAAACGATTTTAAACTTAGAGGAGGTAACTAAGAGGAGGCTGCTTTCACGTGTGGGGGGGGGGGGGGAGGGGTGTTTAGTGTTTTTAAGCAAATATTTTCAATGGCAGGATTGGTACTGTCGAATTAACAAATTATAAATTACTGAAAAGTAGAAAAAAAACAACTAAATAGCGGCGTATGATACGCAGCGGGTCGGCTCGTTAATTATAAATTTCGTATGTACCTACATTATTTTAAAACTAATATTTGAAATGAGTGCATGCTATGTTCAAAATGGGGTGTCTAAAGGGTAAATGTTGTTTATCACAGTATATTGTTATCAGATGAGAGGACAATTGTCTGGGATATTTGTCCTGAGATCATTTGTGATGGAATCTGTTATCAAGAGTGTTTATAGACAGTGGTTATTTAGGTTGATATCTTTTTAACCGGAATGTCATATTTAAAAATAAAATAGATGTAATAACATAAACTTACCCTTTCATAATCGGCCATTAATTGAACAATTCCTCGAAAGCCTTTTTTTTTTGCTATTAGCCCAACAGTCCAACCAGCATTATCTTTTATGTGGATATTTGCATTTTCCTTTAACAGCACCCGAAAAACATTTGTGTGCCCCATACAAGTGGCAAGATGGAGTGCAGTTGATCCCAAACTATTGACAGTGTCAATATCTGCGTGTTTTTCTAACAGCATCTTTACAATATCGTCATGTCCACTATATGCAGCAAACATCAAAGCTGTCCAAAGAGAGTCATTTTTAAGATTAATGTTACATCCGATATCAAGCAGCTTTTGGACAATATCTTTTTGACCGTGGTATGATGCACTCATCAAAAGGGTACATTTGTCATCAAAAGCAGAATCTACAAATTGTGAATGTTCAAGTGACTTTTCTGTCAAAAAATTAAAAAATTTTGAGACCTCTTTGTTTCGAATGAAGCTCATTAAATCTTCAATGAAATCTGGATACTAAAAAGAAAAGAAAAAAAATTACAATCAGTACCCTGAAATAATGTCTGTGATGATTAAAATATTCACAAACACACACACATATATATATATATATATATATATATATATATATATATATATATATATATATATATATATATATATATACCTATATATATATATATATATATATCTATATATATATATGTATTTATATATATATATATATATATTTAAAAACGATATGTAACATACTTATATGTGGAATTTTAATCATTAATTTACATATCCCTATAAAAACAAAGTGGGCAATGTATGTTTGTTACTCACACCTATTAGATCGGTTAGTTGCATGTACGTTGCAGGGATATTGTTCTTGCCAAAATAGCTGTTGAATCTCTTTTTACCGGGAAAATAAACACATGCTAATAATCGAGTTTAAAGTGACCCAAAACTGACCGGGTGTGATCGCAGCCATATATTAGCTATGCATTTTTTAAAGTGCTTGAATTAGATCGAGGACTTGCAGATGTGACTAAATGCAGCAGGAAAAAACCAGATTCTAAGAAATGTCATACTAAGTGGTTAACAGTCAGGTTTTACACCCCACCTTTAATTGTTAAAGGGACGTAAGAGTGTCAGGAATTAAAACTTTTAATTTCACCCGCTCTTAGACTACACCTAAAAATAAATGAAGAAAATATTTGGATGGAAGAAAAATTCTTTTAAAATAGATACTAAAAGGCTTTCAAATACCTTTGAAAATTAATAAAAAATTGACTATTTTTATAGCTCAATTTTACCAACGTAAAGGAATATAACTGCGTCTTAAATTTCAACTTAATACTCATATTTGTTCAGAAAAATAGATATTAAAGCCGTCACCTTTCACATCAGGGACTAGTTCCGACATCAGGTTAAATTGTACTCCTACCACTATGATCAAACTAACACATTTTTGTGTACTAAGATGACCCACTGAGTTCTCTCCCCTTCCCCCTTTACTAGTATTCGCACCCGACTGTCTACCCTCCGAATTTATAATCTTTATTTTCAGAAATGGCGCTCATTCTTTGTAAAAATCCTGTATAATATGTACACATTTTTAGAGTGAAACAGGTGGTGGAGCAATCCAAAAAGCTTTAATGAGGCGTATTGTCATATGGATAGATGTTGGTTTTACTATGTATTTAGCAAACATAACGATTTTTCAATGACTTGATTGACTGATTGATTTTAAAGTGGTCAAATGTATCGATCGGATAGAAAATATATTAAATACAACTCATTTTCTTATATATTTAGCAATGAAAGACATGCCATAGTTGCTTGCTTTTCAATACAACAACTATATGCAGCTTACAGTAAAGTACGTTTATATTTTCAATATGAATAACATTTAAAAAAAACTTACTTGATGTGAATCCATTTCAAACTTTTCACTTTTCACATTTGAGTAGCACGTGTTAATAGAGAAATTCATCAGGCCCTTTAGATAATCGCAATTGTTGCATATGAAAAACAATCAATATATATATAGAATAATAGACACATGTGTATTTGGGTATTTCTTGAAAGCTAAATATGTTTAAGAGTGGCAATATCTAGTTTTGAGTCATTTGCCATAAACATATCCAGGGTTCGTACTGCTTTTTGAAAATGAAATTCCAGACTTTAGACAGATTTGTGTTAGCGAATACATTTTTTAAAAAAATGGTGCACTATTTTACTCTCATTATAATTACTTATACTAAAGTGACATTTATTTTAAGCAATTGAGCTATATTCATATTGAACTTTCTCTTGCCAAATTGACAGAAAATAATTTTTCTAAGTTTGCCTACTCCACTCTACCTAAAATTTTATCAATTAAAATAATGGATTAAAATGAATCTAAATGATGCAACTATTTTGTTTCCAACATTAGACTTGTTCCAGATCTAATTGCTTATGTTTTCAATTAAACTATCGTTAAAATCATAGCATAATAGTGAGAGTGAATTACTTTAAAGAATAATAATGTAATGTATTAATTTCGGTCCGCTCTTGTTAAGTAAGTAGCCTAATTAGTAATTTAGGCTACTTGTAAAAAAAAATGTGGAGCAAAAAAAAAAAAAATAACACATCATTCACAGTTTGTGAATAACGAAAAAGCATTGGTAATGTTTAAGTAGAAAAATAACGAAATTTATAAGTTAATGAGCATCGCTAGTAAAATGTTCAATACTTACTATAAAAACTAAATTTGGCGAGTAGGTAGAATCTAGATCTAGATCTAGTCTAGAGTCTAGAATCTGTTTTTTTTTATTAAAACTGAAAATGAAATGATACGTCAACCCAATTTTAACACAGACGATTATAATAATTTATAATAATATAATTGCCTCTTTGAGTAGAGTTAATAAACTAGACTTTTATGAACACGTTAACGGCATGAATCTTATCATGAATAAAGAATTAAGCAAAACTGTGTTAATTCATCGAGGAACATGTAGGAAATGTAGTTGTTTGTGCCAATAAAGACGCCATTGGTGATCTCGTTTTGGCGAGATGATGTTTTGTAAAATAATGAGTATCGGCCTTGCACAAACAACGATTACAATTGTTAGAGAAGGCTCGACTACTTCTTTGTCGTTATATATATATATATATATAAAAGGGCGGTAACTAACTATAGACATAAATTAATACATCTAATTTTAAAAATAAAAAACAAATGTTAAAATATTATTCTTAAAAAAAAGTTCAACCGACGGATATATCGATATTGTTTTAAAAATCAAACTAAAAGTATGTTAGTAATACGGGGAATCGACAATACGCTTTCTGTTGTCAGTATCGATTACGAGAATCAATGTCGAAATAAAAAAAAACATTTGTCGACAAATGGATAATCAAATTAGAACACCAGTTAAAATATAAATAACATAAATTAATAGTATATAGATCTACAAAAAATATAAAATTTTGATATCAATAATAAGTAAACGGTAATACCAACATTTACTTAGCCATACACGGAACAGAGGAAATTGCAAAATAAGCAACTTTTCTTAGAAAACATTTTTCACAAACATAATAGATTTAGTCTAGTTATTATCATAAATTTAATGTATTTTAAAATAATAATATTAATATTCTAGAAGGTCGTCAATGATTTTTCAGAAAGGTCGAATTTTAAAACCTGATGTCTTTAATTAAACTCAGTAGTGTTGTAAACGCTCAAAGCTAACACCGCGTTTACAATTATGACATGTATACTAGACTTGACCTACTAAAGTGGGTAAAATCACGATATAGCGTCGGTTATTATTCCGGAACTGTACAGCAGTAAAAAACAGTAAAACCATGGCGTAGCCTGTCGAGCCGTTCCGGAAACCACCGGAAATACTGTAAACCATCATTTTTTTGCCGCCATATTATTTTTAATACATAATGTTTAAAAATGTGCAAGGATTGATTTTAGTTGCATTTTAAATACTGTTTTGCTAATTATTTTGTATTTCTAATTATTTTAAGTGTATGTGCTAATTATTGCTGCTACTAAACATTATTCTAGTTATTCTTACTACTTTTAACTTTAGTTAATCTAATCGTCTTAATCGTTTACTAACAGAACTAGAGCTGGTTGTCGCAAATCTTCTGCAGGTTTTTTCTGTTTCTTAAAAAAAATAATTACTACACTCGACTTTATTAATAATATTTAGATTTACTAATTGTTGCTAATTTTTTGTCAGTTAAACATTAAATTAAGTTAAAACATTAATTTAATGCACTTGACTTTATTTTTCTTTCACCGGTCAAATAAACTAGGGTTTACAGTAACAAATGTTACCGAAACTCAACGAACATTACCCAATAATTTCCGACGCTATATCGTGATTTTACCCTAAAAGAGTATACTAAACATGTTACGGGTATATGGAACATCTTCTGAGTTCCAGTTTTGAGGCACAAAACAACGCCCTTTTTTATGTTGTGGGTCATGTTTTTGTCTTCGCTCGCTGAACGAAAACTTAGGACATATTCTGAATTTTCAGATAAGTGCGCATGCGTCAAAAGTAGTAAGCGCATCATATGTCTCAGCTGATTGCAAAATTAAATATAGATTCTAATGATTTTGAGTTTTTGAGCACACGATTTCATAAATTATAACTTCTCTTGTCTAGGCCCTGTTAAAATTTACACTTTTATAATTACTTATTATCTCTTTAATTAAATTCCAAACACGTTTTAATAAAATAATGTAATTTTGAATCGCAAGCACCGTGGCTACACCATTTTTCTTTTTAAAAAAATAAAGCTGTGTGCCCACTATCTACGTTTTTTTTTTACTTTGATTACACTTTATTTTAATTGTCTGGGCCTATAAAGCAGACGTTCCATGTCAAAGGTCAAGCTTGTTTAATAAAATGTTCTATAACATGTTCTATAAGTGTGAACGCTAAAGTATACATGTTCTGTGGATAAAATTGTTCCAGATAAAAATAACTTTTAGCGGGCTTTGTGTTCTGGAAATGTATAGTATACATGTCGTAAGTGTAAACGCGGTATAATACAAGTAACATTTTTTTTAAAAACGTGTAGGCCTACACTACTAGATTCTATATTTCCCGCTATTAGTTTTCATGTATGGAAGAATGGCATGTAGTTCTAGTTCTACATGATTTTTGTAAAAATGTCACTGCAGTAGCAAATAACTGTTTACCAATGGAGGCTACTAACAATCACAGGTTCTATAGAACGTTTTATTAAAAATAGCAAATTTCTATAGGGCATAGGGGGCCTAAGCAAATTACTTATAGATTCTAGATCTAGAGGTAAAACCTTAGTTTAGCGTCGTAAATTCGGCCAAAACTAGTAATGTGGGAGAGAGTGAATTAATGAATATGTCATTAAATATGAGGGTAATCTATCGCTTTAGCGTAATCAATTCGGCCGTCACTAGTAATGTAGGGATAAGGTAACTATCAAATATGGCTTAGATGTGAATATATTTTTGCATATTTTACTAAAATACTAAAGATAATTGAATATTAAACCACATTTAAGGTTTAAATCAATAAAAATGTCATGAAATTAAGGTTTAACATCGATGTTCCAGATACTAAATTTGCTATTAAAAACAGCGGCCATCTTAAGAAAATATTATTTTGAGTCATTTCCCTTTAATTTCTATTTGTATGGAAATGTATTGATGTTTGCTATTAAATACGTTAGTCTTGTGTTTAAATACAAAGCATGCGTTTTTTTTTAAAATTCTGCCCTTTAAACAATTTAATTGACTGACAATAAACATCAGTTCTAGAATTATTATTATGAGATGCAATTTTTACACATTAAGATACTCCCTATTTTTATAGAGCTACCACTACATATCTAATGTTTATTTAAATATTAGTTTGAGTTAATTCTTATTGTTTGTGTTATTGTTTGTTTGCTATTTTCATGTAATATTTTCATGCTTTTTTCCTTTAATTAGTGATTTAATCATAAATGACGTCCCGTTTTTTTACCTTTCTTCACCTTAACACCCCCCCCCCCTCATTTTCGCCGTTACGAAATAGTCGTAATGTCGAAAATTACCTTTTTGCCCTGCCTGTTAAAAAGTCAAGCCATAATTCTAATGAAAACGATATATTCAGCATTTTTGTATTTGGCGAAATACATAACGTTTCACGTTTCTTGCCCCTCCCATTTCCCGCGTAAAACGTCGTCTCAAAACCAGTTACTCCACCCCTTAAGTGTGCGATGTCATTTATGGTAGATGTCAAGTCCTATATACATTTTGAATAACCTTTGTTGTCAAAATGTTGATACCAAATACCCAAAATGAGTTATATGGTGTTATCCATAAACGATGTCACATATGCTATGCTAATGTGCCGTCAACTTACGCAGGGTGGTCCGGGGGGGGGGGGGGGGGGGGAGATGCGTCTATTTTGGAATCTTCTTTAAAGCTGTGCTCAATGAAATTGAGGAACATAAAGCGTTCGTTTTCATGCATACATTTGTTCATAACGAATGATCATAACTATTGCATGCCTATTGTCCTAAGCGGTGTTTAACAACCTGAGCACATCATCCCCGCCAAAAAGGGCCTGCCACTAAATGCCTACCGACGAAAATAAGCCGCACTATATTGACTCCAAATGAAATAACTTCTGACAATAAGGCTCAAACCAAGTAGCTCCTGGCAACAATATTCGACAAGAGTCCAAGACACCATTAAGTGCCGCACCAGGTGACACTCGACCTCGCTACGCCACTGAACTAATGTAAAGCCACAGCTCAGTATTGGCTTAAATTTAACATAAAATAGTGTTAGCAGTGGACAGCCTCTAAGACTGTGCATTAGGAGTACGGCCGTCGGCAAAACGCCAGAGTCCGACGATATCTGAACATCAATTTTGTCTTTTATGAAGTGCCGAGCACCTTT